ATTTTTAAAAAAATGGAAGAGAGGATGTTTTTCTTTGGTAATGTGTAATTGAGTGAAGATCATCAAAGCATTTCCAAACTGGAAACAGACCAGTTATGGAATAGCTCCAAGCATGATTCAAGCAAATCTGCAGCTTTTTTCTTTTTTCTTCACCACTTATGTAAATCTAGGAAGTTGAAGAGCAGCTTTGAACACAACAGAGACCTTTTTGTGTCTCTGTAGAGTTGTACCGGTAATACAAACAGGAACAGCTTCATGTTTTATCGCTGCATAAATGTATATTTTGGGTTGTTTTTGTTTTTTTTTACTGTTATTTGGGGTAGAGCCGGTGTAGGTGTTAGATATGCAGTAACACACCACCCATATGTATGCACATGGTAATTAAGCGAACAGATGAGTATACTGGTAGTTTTTTATACCAGCATGTCTTTAAATTGGCTGCTCATTTCTGTGTGAATATGCATGGACACACACACGAGGTTTGGAAAAGCACTCTTCTCCTCTCCCACAAAAAAACACTCGGTGCAATGATTACCTGCCTTGCCACTCAGGGGCCATTTGCTGTTACCACAGAGCTGATTATCTCACCCCTACAGCAGGCTCTGTTTGCGGCTTTGCGATTTTCTCCCAAATGCCCACACTGCTATTTGTAGAAATGTTACCTAGCTGGCACAAGCTGAAAAATGTTTGTGTTTGTGTGGATTTTTTTTGCGTCTGGGTGAGTGTTTGCGGCGGTGCCTGGCCGTGTGTGTGTGTGTGCGTGTGTGTGTCTGTGAGTGTGTGTGTTTCGAGGGTGGGTGGGTGTTTGTGTGGAATGGAAGGCTGTAAGAATGGAGGGATGGATGACACAAGCAGGGCAGAGTGGTGGGAGGCTGGTGTCAGGGCCCTACTCCTACTACCAGGCTGGATGCAGAATCTGACAGCTGACTGAGAGTCTGCAGGCCCCCTCTTTACACAGTCCCACCTAAAGGTCAGCACTTCAATCAGCTCCGCTCTCTGGACGCCTCTCTTCCTGCCTTAATACCACGGAGCCTCAATTCGGCCCCCTTGATGCACACTTAGCCGCGCTTGACCGTACCTCGCGGGTGGAAATGCAGTTTTCGCACACAGAAAAAAAGAACCCACGAAAAGAGTATGTGCATCCGTACCATGTGACATCCACAGGGTATTAAAGTTCCAAGGCAGATGATTATGCGCGCTGGATGATATGTGTAATTTTGGTGCACTTCAGAGTGTGGAAAATTGCCATCCCCAAAGTCATAGCTGGCTTGTCGCTCTACGCATTTCAGTTTTCCAGATCTTTAATGTCCTCTCAGTTCCGTCTTAGGTCTGTAATTTGCCACTCTCAATATCCCGTAGTCCTACCACCTGCATGCCACTGGGAATTATGTTCTCTGCAAATGATCAAAAATTTCAATTTAAATATTATTCAACGTGACAAGTAGTAAGCGGGCATGTAAACAGCTCAGATAATAGAAAAACAGGACAAACCAGGCCCGCTGCAAAAAGTAGTTTTTCCTGCTGATTGATCGAACAGGACATCGCTTCCTGTAAATGAGTAACCCGATATGTATCCTCATACCTTTTGTATTCAATCAAAGGTGCCTTTGATGTGTTTTTGAGGAGTCACAGCACCTGTGTAACAAACAGATCCCTATCATAATGTGTCATCTGTCACTCCCCCGTCTCATGCATAGCTCTCTTATTATTCACCTATTACACTGGTTCATTTCTACATAATCGTGCCTGATAAATTAACAGGTCTCCCAATGCTGTCAGCTGCATGAATTATCATTAACACGAGGAGTGAAATGTCAACGGGGGTGCGTGTGGAGTGTGTCCCACGATTTCACGAGGCTAACAAGAGCATCGATATAAAAGAGATGAAGAGGATTTTGGGTTTTTGAGTGTCCGCAAAGAGACTCTCATCTGTTTTTCAAGTCTGACGAGGTTAAAGCTGCTCCATACCCCCCGATCCATACAGCCGGTGACTAAGCCTGCATCAAGACGCTCATGCAGGAAAATATCACGCTGTCTCACAGCCTGTGTGTGTGTGTGTGTGTGTTTCATGTTGGTACAGAAAGAAAAATGTGCCTTGATTCTTTCCGTTGGCTTTATGATTCATTTTATTGCCCACAACTTGACTATGAGCTCTTAACGATACAGCGTCAGATGCCTGGGAACAAGCCCAACTATCCCCTGATGACTTAATGAAAGGGGAAGCTCAGTTTTTAATTACTTCCATTTTTTTTTTTTTTCTTTTTTTTTTTACTGTATTTTGTCGTATTTTTGTTGTGCTCCTTTTGGGCTGCCATTTTTTTTATCATCAGTCTTGTTTAATTGAATAAACATTTAGTCTAAAAAATGTCAGAAAACAGTGAAAATCAAACATCCCAGAGCCCGAAGGAGACACCTTCAGATTGCCTGTTATGAGCGGCGCTGAAACGATTTGCCCACGATTTAAATAATCGATAAATCGTTTGTCAAGGAGCTATAAGAGTCGACAGCCACGCTAGCAGCTCTCCGCGGCTGTACTTTGGCACAGCAGTGCTAAATGCTAACATCAGCATGCTAACATGCTCGCAAAGGCAACGTTAACGTGACGATGGACAGCAGGTAAAGTTTACCACGTTGACCATCTTAGCTCAGCGTGGTTGCACGCTACCATTTGCTAATTAGCACGAAACACAAGCTACAGCTGAGGCAGATGGGAATGTCATTCTTTCTGTGTATATTTACATAATTATGTATATGTAGACGTGTATATTTTCCCCTCTTTCTAATATATTTATCTGATACCTGGAGTGGATTGGTGCCAAACCAAATGTAGTTGTGTTTAACAATAAAGCATCTTATCCACAAACTGTTTCCACCCCACCCCACTACATTTGTTGAGCTTTAAATTGTTCAGCTGCCGGTGACACCAAAGACCTTTATGGTCGTGGCCTCTTTCAAAGACGGGTGAACACGCTGCTCAGCCATCATGTCAGGACTATCATCCTAAATGATGAGTCACACGGCCGGTCTTTATTCCCACTATGGTCGACTCGGTAAATATAGCCCAATGAGGCTCTCGCAAAGCTGGGAGTGGCTTTGTGTTGAGAGTACCATTTAAAGATGACACCGTGGATTGTCATCACGTGCATCGTGTTATTCACTCCCGGGTGCCTTTTAATTACAGCACGTGGCCATCCACGGGAGATAGACGGTGACTTATCACTGCAGGCCTCTTGAGCCCTGAAACAGCAACGAGTGGCTCCGGAGTGAGGGCCCTCACAGGATACCCATCATCCTATATCAATGTACAGCACTTAATCGCTTCTATATCAGTGAACAGCACTTCAGCTCTCGGGTCAGACAGTTCGTTTATGAGATGTTAGCTTCATTAGGGATGCCTGGCGGAGGCAGCTTGTGACAGTTCTTGATGGAAACAGCTGAGAGGAAAAGATGAATATAGTGATTCATTTCCTTGTCCCAAAAAAAAAATGCACTCAGTACACAAAAACTAAATCTGGATGTGCCGCACACTAAAGCAGCTTTGTTCCTCAATCCCAGAATCTTCTTGGAAGTCCTGCAACGCTCTCGTTTTAGCTACACGACTGAACTCGAGCTGAGCGAAACAAGAGCACGCGTGTGGAAGTGTGGAAAGCACATGGTCATTTTCCACTCTGCCTTTCAACGAGAGTGGCATCGAGCAGAGAGAGAATGGAGTGGCGCTTGGTTTCAACATCCCGTATCATGAATCTGGATTAAAGAACTGGTGGTTTTGACAGGCCCGTTTCATCTCCTCCGTCTGAAGTGTTACTCACGTCTCCAGGCCCCTCGAGGGCTGACTGATGAGTGTGTTTGTGTGTGTGTGTGTGTGTGTGCGCGCGCAGCTGGGGTGAGCAGGGTTTGATGAAAGAGACAGACAGACTGGAAAGTCGAGAACAGAGCAGGATGTGCAAGGTGTTGAGAAGTAGTTCTTTCTTTGTTTTGTTTTTTTATGAATGGATACTGTGCTAAGTCACGGCCTGCAAGTCTACACAGCACGTGCTATCAATGGAAAAGGATACGGTCATGAAACATGCCGTTATTCGTCTTCACTGATTACAGAGGCGCATTTGCTACCCTGGAAAATAAACTCCTTGGATTCGTCCCGTTTTGAAGTGAGAAGTAAGACCTTAATTAATGCATATAATGCGGCTTTAAGAAAAGATAAGCAGCAGTCACGAGAGCATTTCTGTATAAAGTCCGATACTTCACAATGTGCTCGCACTTGTTAAAAGGCCCTCAAGAGTTTCGACATTCAGAATCAACCGGTTGCGGTTTTAAGCGAACGGCCTCAAGTCGGCGCCTCCTGGAGTCTGGGCTGAAACCTGTGGTTATGAAACAAGAGAGAGGCCCCGGCCGGCTTTCCACACTACCGGCAGCGGAGTACTTCTCCTGGCTTGGCAGCTCATTTAAATCAAGGCGGCGACAGAGTTCCAAATAACTCCCTAACCACAAGCAACGTTTAAAAGTGACTAAGCTTTCACCAGAGATACAGCAGAGCATTCAGAAAGAGGATGCTTCTTTTAAAAAGGAGTTGCCCCGAAATCACTTCCAGCTGTAGTTATGTGACAAATACAGTGCGACTTCCTTCCCCGAAACTGTGGTTAGAGAAGTACAATAGAAATTGGATTACCTGAAATGCTCTGGTGCAAAAGAAATATATAGCGGGTATCTGCTGCCCCCAAGTGGCAGAGACATTCACTACATAGCGAACAAACTGGCACAGAAGTTCCTCATAATTTGCGTTTACTTTCCATGGCAAGTCTGCTTAATGAGAAGAGCTTCCTGAAGAGAGCGCGTGTGTGTCTGCTATAAGTCATGCTGATTAGCTTTACTTTCGTGCCACATGTTCTGAATTATACAATTCTCTGGCAGTCAGTTGTCTTTGTGCATCAGTAGTACATATGATCATCATTAAGCAGCAGGAGAGGGACAGATTTAAAGAAAACACCACAATCTCCACCAGCAGGTATTTCCAAATAAATTTATTTTGTAATTCATCCACTGTACAAAGCAAGCATGGACTCTTCTGGACACTGACGTGACAGAGCTGGAAACAGATGGACCATTAATTTCCATCAAAGAAACAGAAAAGATTACCTAGAGGAGGGGGGGGAAAGAGACACAGTGACTCAGGGTAATTTGGCGTCAATATTTCCATTTTCGACTCCATTAACAACTGAGCACATGCGTCACTACGCTGTCGGGTTAAACTAATTAACAGGACACGTCTGTGATGATCAGCCGAGATGTCGTACCACAGGTCTACTCCAGAGCCTTGACCATGGCCTCGTTGGCCTCTATGCTGATCTGAACCGCCGCCCTCGCCGCCTCGTCAGACAGGCCTGCCATGTCGGACTGGGCCTTCTCCAGGTTGGCCCTGGCAGCCTAAAAATAGAAAGTGTCACAATGAGAATCATAACAGGAAAGCAAATGACAAAGCCTACAATTCTGATATAGTTTTGTTGCCCTGTTCTGACTGCCAGCTCCGGTTCTTTTTTTAGTTGTTTCCCTCCATAGCAGACGCTATGGAGGGAAACAACAGTTCGTGGACAGACGGCAAAATAAATCATCTGCTGGCACTTTTACTTTCTGCAATGTTTAACAGGCTACTGCTTCCTCGTTGGAAAGCCGCGTCACTACGTAGTTACTGACACCTACATCGTGACCACAGCAACCCATGCAGACAGATCAGTGAAGTCTGCAATCACTTGCAAATAACAAAGCGGACAGTCCCGTCCTAAAGATCTGATTTGAGAAACAAAAGGGATTTTCCTGCAGTCCAAACGTAGCCACGAACCAGCCTGCAAAGCTCATCCTGTAAACCTTTTTTATGTGATGTGAAAGTCAGAAAAGCGAGGCCGAGTGACGACGAGTCAAAAGTGGGGACGAAGACGAGCAGAGAAGATCCCCACTGCCTCTTTGCTATGAAAGCTCCATTTGTCACGGTAGTGATTAGAGACGAGAAATGCCAAACATAGCTGGGAGTTAAAGGTCTCCCAGTGGGGATTTGACACATCTGCTATAACTCAACAGTGACTGACCTTTCCCTCCTTATTAACAGCGTGGGCCCATGTGCATTCTCACCGCAGAGCAGAGGACAACGAGGAAGAAATAACTAATTTACTGCTACAGAGTCAACTTGACAGTGACACTGGCACTGCCCGAGGTCAAAGAGAGACGGCTCATAATAAAGCAGCCCGGCATTAACAAGACTGACATTTAAACAAGGGCTCAACATCGAGGGTCCAACCGCAGCGGCCATCAGACGGATAATCATTGGCTGGGAGGTGCTCATCAACAGAAAGGATCAAAATGAGAGGAACTCATGCAGGCCTCAACAAATCGGATGTGGACATCAATCACACAAATGTCAGTCAACTAGAAGATCCATGAAGAATTGACTGTAACCCTGCTCGATGCAACACAGCTGCAATTATTGCTCTGTACAGTTTGTGACAAAAATGTACTTTAAATGATCTTTGAAGGGAAGATACTATCATTTCTTTAAACTGATAACAAATGATACGAAGCCAAACCCTGCTGGTGTAAACGTGACACGCCATCATAATAATATCAAAAGGAGAAATTAATCTTTTTATCCGCAGTGAAATCAAAGTTCAGAGCTGACGGCAGAACAGAGCTTACAGGCTAACGGGTACAAAGACAATGGCTGCTGGATCACCGGTGGCTTTGTGAAGCGACGGTTAGAAGCAATTTAAAGTCTATTTTTAAATAGACAAAAACCACCAGCCTCTAAAACACAATGAATCAAAAAGGTCTACATTTCAAATGCAATAGAACAAAAAGGAAATCAAAAGTTTAATTGGGTTTCTCAAAATGCGATTAAAAAGGACATATTATACTGAAATATCGATCCTTTGCATTTATGGCTACTGCCTCATTCAAAATATGTAGTACTGGATCATCATAGCCCATTAAACAGAGGTCAATGCCATCACCATGTGTTCAAATGATTAAGGTAAATACAGGGTTGCACAAAATAAAACCTGTGTGCTTATGCTTTCTCATTTGGATTAATTTTACCGCCGTTTGTTTTATCGTCTTCTCTCCTACTTTTCTGGATTGATTTTTCATTGTGATGTTCTCGTACATGATGGAGCCTGTCACTATATTTAGCTGCTCCATTTGGATGACTACTCAAGGCCGACCTGGCATCAGCTTGTGTCTGCCGAAACTGAATATATGGTTTCCATTTTCAATCCCCTTATAATTTGAGTAGTTAAAGATACCATGCAGTCATATGTCAGCTTAATAATAAAAGGTGACATAAAGAATACAAGTTTTATTACAGTTACCAAACATCATTTTTTGTAGTTTGTGTATTATCTGATACTTTACAGTATTTGAATCTATTTTGATTGAGGAAGTCACTGGTTGCTTTCTTATCTGGACCCGTGTGCTCATTCCCACCACAGATCTTTTGGCTCTTCAGCGATGAAGTCTTGGATTGTGAATCCCTCAAGTGATGCCAACATCAGCTTGTCTATCCTCTCTGCTATCAGAGACGACCTCCAGTCTGTCTTGATTCTGCTTAGTCAGCTGAATCTCCTCTCACATACAGCTGAAGTGACTGGGTTGCATGTTTTGCCATTTAGTGCCACTGGGAACCATTACTGTTGAGCCCCTTGACTACTTCCCTTACACTGAAGTGACTTACCTTAAGGTGGCTTAAAGTAAGTCACTCGAGGTCTTACCCTCTCATGTTTAAACGAAGCAAAGCACCATACTTAATATAACTTCATGGATATAAGGCTGCATGGGAACTTGTGCTTCTCCCCCAAATCTACAAGTCAAACTTTTTATCATGACCCTCTGTCAAACCTTTCATTACATGCACATTGTCTCAGCTCTATAAGCTCCTCCTGTGTGTGGATGAATGTAGGAGACACACTCAGTAGTGCAGATCATGTTGAAGTATATGGACAACAATATCCAACATGGATAAATGTATTTCATTTTGAAAGAGCAAAAATGTAGATATATTAAAAGTCAACTGTGTTGGTTTACACCAACTTAAAAAATATATAAGACAGATTCTTATGTTGGTCATTCTGACCAACATTAGCGCAGAGGCCGATCTAGTTTGCATGCAAGTGTGGAGTGATGTTGACATTATACTCACAGCGATGTCCAGCTGGTCCAAAGGAGCAGCCTCCTCAACTAGCAGTTGCACTGAAGAATCAGCGTTGACTGTTACTGACCCACTGCTCACTGCGTACACACACACAACAGTGTAACTAGACATGCCAACATACAGTCATCTTCACTGTGTTTTATAACCAATGATGCAATGTGCATTATAGAGCCAGGATCCCCTGCCTCACTCTCAGGCTTCTGTTACACAGTGAACTCTCTCATTGAGGGTTTGTTCATCTACTGTGTAATTGCTTTACATTCTATGTTTCATCGACATCTACTGTTGAATTTGTTTGGGAAAAAATGGCGGAACTCAGAAATTAGCTTAGCTTAGCAGACGGAATGAATAATGCATGCATCATGTTTCAGCTTTTCAGAAAGATCAATAACAAAACACTTAAATCAAAATGTGGGGGGCTAGACAGAAAGTGGGGCAGAATTTTGGTGATCTCTAGACTGACATCACGAAGATCTTTCATGACTAGTCGGAGCAGGTATTAGACATTTGAATATGTTGAGCCGAGAGGCACATTGGATAGAAGAAAAGAGATCAACATAGTAACTACTGTAAGAGCATGTTATAGATGGTGATCTGATATGTTAGTTTATTTTTAAAATAATGTGTAACAACGCATTATGGGCTATTGTTTGCCTACACATAGATGCCACTGTTTGGAGGCATTGAAGGAATACATGTTTCATTTTACCAGCAGGAAAATTAGGTTTAGGCCCTTCACGTAAACTGACCTTAGTCGTTCATATTTGTTTTAGGAAAGTAAAATCTCACCAAAGAATTTAGCAGCAGAGCCGTCGTCACCAAAGACCGTTACAACACCAGGCCGGAGCACCTGGAGGGTGGGCACGTGGGCGGGGAGGATACCGAACGCACCGGTGAGTGTGGGCACGTCTACCTGTTTCACACTGGCCCCATTGAAAAACACCTGGAGAGTGGAGACAGAAGATGGAGAGATGCATTCACTGACTTATGGACCGACCTGCAAACAGTTTGACATTAAGAAATAGTGACAGATCACAGATACAGCTGCCAAAATGTAGAATTTACAACAGAGCGGCATCAATGATACAACCCACTCGCTGTCACCTTTCAATTTACGTTTTATGCAAAGTAATACACACAATTTTGGTGGTAATGTTTTTTGTTTTTTTTACTGGATCAAATACATCAGGTCTGCAGCAGAATGTGAAGTAGACCTGCAGCACTGTGTGGAAGAGGAGATCTAAGTTAGAGGAACACTGGGCTGAATTTAGTACAGAGACATGAACCTCAAGGTTAGTGAGCATTAAACGCAATGTTGCTAAGTGTCCGTTTCACAATTGAGTAATTCTTAAACTAACACACATTTTAAAACATTTACATACATGATGTACTCAGTTATCCATCTGGAAAAGAGTGATATTGTTTCGCAAAGTATTCTTTGCCTCACTGCTGGTCAAAGACAGTGAATGACAGCTAGCTTGAACTTCGTTAGCTAACGTTAGCTGAGCTAAATCTTTAACTGACTGTCTGCACGCGTGCATGAAATATAATACTACAACTAGCAATGACTACAACACCGCATGTTAGTACAACACCTCCAAATGACCCGGAGGCATGTTTTTGTTTTTGCATTTCAACGAGAAACAACAGTTAGCCGTCTAGCTAGCTAGGCCCCACAGAAGCCTCGCCATTAGCGTTAACGTCAAAGCTAGTTTACCTGTGTCGGGGAGGCGAATGTGAAGGACATCTGCGGGGCACCGGACACGGCCTCGGCGTAGGAGCGAGCGTGCCTCAGCACGGGGAGGGAACGGCGGAGAAATCTTGCTGCCATCATGTCTGAAAATCAGATTTTTATTCAAGTTCAAGCGAATGACAGAGATCCTCAAAGCCCCTTTGCGTGAAGGCAGTCGGTGTGCGCTCGGTAGGACAAGGACGTTGGAAACCTACCCATAAAGCTTTACGGTGGCGCAGAGGATGCTGGGTAGTGTAGTCTTTTGAAAAACAACAGACGTTTTGAGAGATGAACGCGGTTGAGCTTGGTTATTAGTTGCAAAGGATGCAGGGTAGTGTAGTCTTTTGAAAAAAACAAAAACACTGATCCCTGTCAGTGTTTTATTATTATATATGGATATTAAATATGGATATTTTTGGATCATTCCTGCTGCAGATGTTTAAGGTGGAGCTCGTTTTAACTTATTTATACACTGTTGTTAATTTTGGGTAGTTAGGAAGGGTTTGAAATGTTTTTATAATGTTTAAAGTAACTAACTAAAGCTGCCAGACAAATGTAGTGGAGTAACAAGTACAATATTTCCCTCTGAGATGTAGTGGAGTGGAAGTACAAAGTTGAATAAAATGGAAATATCTAAGTAAAGTACCTTGAATGTGTACTTAAGTACAGTACTTAAGCAAATATACTTAGTTATATTCCACCACTGATCATAACATTTACTCTTATCACTCGCAGCTTATCAAAACCATACAATTTACTGCTTTTTATAAAGAGGTGGAGTAATATTGAGCAGGATTGAGTTCTATTGGTCCGGCCCTCCACAACAGTCCCTGTTTCTCATGTGGCCCATTGGGAAAAATAATTGCCCACCTCTGTTTTAGAGAGATGATGGGAGCAACATTTGGGGAAGAGTAGCTCATTTTGTCAAAACGTGGAAGGCAGAGATGATGTACATTGTTTTTCCGTGTATGAAACTACTGAGCTCACTTCACCAGTAGATGGCGCCAACGTGATGTGTTATGTGCTACACAGGCAACAAATAGGGACCCACTCGTTTATTCTGGGAGTTTTTGCTCTTTTATGTGCCACTTGAATGGCACTAAAGACCCCAAACACACACAGACAGACTAACAGACTTCTGCACTTGGTGCTTCACCATTTTTTCCACACGTGCAAGCGAGTGACACCTAATGCAAAATGAATCAGTAAAAGAAGACAACAACAAAAAAGAGTGCTGAAATGTATTTTCAGGAAATATAGTTAACATTCATTGAGACACTCGGGCTTCCCTTCACCGAAACACTGACTTGACCATCGGGCTAATTTGGAGAAACTCTTCAATCACGCAGCTTTACCTCACTCCTCGCGTCACGTGGTGCGCCTCTGACTGGGTGGTGGGCGTGTCTTAAACAGTGGGGTTTCATTCATAAATACTTTTAGCGTTAAAAATCCACATTAAACTGTCCACAGAGGAGTTTCATGTTTATTGGCTTTGCCCACCTCGGACCCTGCATGGACCCGGCCAGTTGAGTAGGTGAGTGCTACCTTCTTCTTTTTTTATTTTTTATTTTTATTGCCGCATGCCTGCTCCTCGCGCAACCTATTCAAGTCGTGATCTACCTTTTTTCTGTCGGTGTCACCGGACTGATGAAAATCAGAAGCGCCTGTGTGAAAATATATCAAGATGACATATTTATTAACGTCGCTGCGCTGCGCGGAGTGTAGCTGGTTTTCATCCAAGTTTACCATCGGCTTCATTTCATCACGCAATGTGAAGTGATTTTGCCTTTTCTTTGCAAACGATCGTATCAGCCAAACCTCCATGAGGAAACAGCTGCCGGAGACGAAGCTCATTATTTTGTTCCGGGGAGGCGGGGGGGGGGGGGGGGGTATTGCTGTACCAAGCAATAAAAAACGGGATGTTGTCTTTTGTGCAACAGTTTTTTTTTTTCCCCTCTAATCTTCAACAGGTTATTACAAGTTCCAACATTAAACAATCATATTTTGTTCCACGGAGGTGTTGTAATCATGGGACTAAATATAGAAGCGAAACCGACACACAGTACATATAGCAGTAATGCAGCTGGCATAGATAGACGGAAATGTGGTTAAGCGTGACTGGATCCATCGCTGGGACCCCCGTGTCTCACCATCTGCTATCAAGCCAGCAAGAGAGCAATCCTCAGGGTTAGAAACACCATGGTAGCAAGCAAATCTCAACAAAGTAACAGGCTACATCGATTTACAATACACTTTTCACAAATATGATTATTTCTCCTTATATTTATTGAAGCCTAGCAACAGATGATCATTTTTTTATCTAACTGTATTATTGCATTTAATCAATATAGTGAGGCAGCTTTAGCTTTGTTAATGTTGAAAGACATTTAAGAACATGCTCTGATGTTTGGTGTCATTCCTTGTGATGAACTACAGTATTTTGGGGGGGGGGGGGGTCGTGAAAACACTGTTGCTGCTCGGGCTTAGTCGGCTGGTGTTGGGCTGAGGATGCAGCAAGGGAGCTGAGGAGGAGACTCCTGAGCCACAGCCTGACACACACACACACACACACACACACACACACACACACATATCCAGAGCTGCTGCTGCGCACTGCCCTCCATCAGGGTAAGACGCTGGGCTGGTAGAAAGCAGGATGTGGTACAGCACTGCAAAGGGAAGCATGCTGGTCACAGCCTGATGTGTTTCCCGTAACTGTGTATTTTGCATTGTTGTTGGTTTTTCATGCTTGGACGGTAGATGTAGGGGAGTTACACAGGTTGGAAGCAAACAGCTCAACCTGTAAGCACAGGTTGTGGTGCTGAAGTTGAGTGCTGCAGTGACTGGCAGGAGAGCAAGGAGCGCTGAGTGCTGCTGGCATGTTGCTCCTACCCTGCTGGGTGAGTAGCTCTATCCAGAGTGTGTGTGTGAGGGTGTGTGTGTGTGTGAGAGAGAGAGAGAGAGAGAGAGTGTGTGCGTGTGTGGGCGTTTGGTGCAGCAGTAGCTGTATTAATGGCTATGATGTGGAGGAGCAAACGCATAGCAGCAGCGGTCGTGGAACTCAGCTGCTGGAGCCAGCGTTTAGTGAGAGCTGGTGTTTCTCTCTGTTGTGTGTGTGTGTGTGTGTGTGTGTGGGAGGTAGGTAGAGAGCCTTCAGGCCGATATGGAATTACGGGTGATGATTTGCAGCCGAGATGCTGGCATTTGCATCTTCCGTGGGATTCGACACATGCGCACAAGCACACGCCGTATACACACACTCTCACACACACACACACGTATTTGGTTTCTGCTCCAGTCTTTTCACGACTGTGAGATGGGTTTTTTTCTAAAGCGTCTTCTATCACATCATACAGCGCGTTATAAGGCATCAATAATGGACAGCAGAGCCGTGCTTTATTCTTGTCAATTCAGAGAAGTGTTTTTTTATGTTTACATGTGCTTTACGCCTGGATTTGTTATTAACACAGTTAAAAAGCAATATCTCTGGTGGCTAACTTTGTGGTTTGATGACCAGCTCTGGTAACAGCCATTTCCTGTGTGTGTGTGTGTGTGTGTGTGTGTGTGTGTGTGTGTGTGTGTGTGTGTGTGTGTGTGTGTGTTATCTCTCAGGGGGACTCTCTAGTTGGCCTGGACCATGAGCAATGAGTCTACCGTCTGGAACATCCTACCAGAAAACTCCACAGTAAGTCTGCCTTTCACCACCGGCTTATCCTCAAACTTCCTGTGTGTGTGTGTGTGTGTGTTAGTGTGTTAGTGTGTGTGTTGTGTCCAGCTTACCACCAGAACCATACTTCCCCCTCATATTCTCTTCTGGCCGATTGACTTGGCTAATAGAGAACATCCTGACCTGGACCTGGCGTAATTAAATCTCTGATCTAATCTCAGATTTAATTTCCCCTCGCAGAGAAATTAAAATGTGACGTCGTAGTCTAGCGCTCATCAACACTTGGTGAGAGTTCAGCAAAAACTTTTTAAGATCTATGGACACTATAGGGTCCTCTGTTTTCTTTACATAACGTTGGCTGTCACGCCACTGGTGGTACTCCATGAGAGAACAAGGCGTGCTGCTGTTCTCTACTCTCCCACTCGTGCTGCCATCTATCATTTTATTTAAACCATTTAAATTTCTCTTCTGCCTACATCTGCACAAAGGAACAATGATACAATTGGATTAAAAAGCAAATTTCAACTTATTAAAGGAAATAAATAAATCAAGAAAATGGGTGATTTAACAATAAACTTGTGTACTATATGAATTCCACATTATTTATACGGCTAAGAGGAAATGTATTTGTTCATAAAAACAAAAATCTTGCTAAATAGATTAGATTGTCCCTCTGTCTTACAAAAATGTGACTTCTGAATCTAAATTGAAATACAACTGTGTATATATATAGATCTTATAAATGGGCTAATGCTGCATTTTACCACCGAAACTGGAAGTCAGAGCTGAGAATGAGTTCACTACATTCCAGTACAAGTCTGAAAACTGAATGGGGGGGGCATTCTCCCGCCAGGTTAGCTATTGTTAGCGATACTAGTTGATAACAATTACGCCGGTATTTTTCCTGTGCAAACACCATAGCATGTATGACTGATTTAATGAGACACATGTAAGACAGAAAAGTAGTAAACAGCATATTACTACAGCTTTTTTACTGTTGATGCGTGGAGCAGCCATGTTGGATTTTGTGGACGGCGTCGGTTGGGTCCAAATTTAACTACAGACGGCGTTTCAGTTCAAATCCGTTCAAACGGAAAGCGGCATTTTTAGCGCAACTAATGCATTGTGTCAGAATTCAAATTTGAGGCTGTTTTCGTTGAGTTTAAACATGTTTCTGCCTCTCTCGCTCAGCTCAGAGAGGATATCAGTTGATGCTTATGTGGGAAGCTTTTTGCTTTACTTGCGCTCTCTCTTTTAAAGCACTGCACTTAATGTCCAAACTCAGCACAGGAGGTCACCCACCTCTCCTCCTGTTATATCTACTTTACTTCCCCTCCCTGCCTACTCATGAATCAGAGTTGTACAATAACCAGTTAACAGACCTGTCGGCACCGTGCACTGAAGTTACATATGTAAACCTCTTTTCACTGCAGGTGAACAGGTGTCTCTAATAATCTATGTATCCATCTCGGCCCTCCTCTGTGTCTCCCAGGAGATCCCGTTCGTGGCCGAGGAGCAGCAGGATGGCTACGTGCTCCTCCTGGTGATCCTCTCCGTCTTCCTGGTAGGAACAGTGATCTTCATCACCGTCTTCCTCATCGCCTACCGTCGCTGCTGTCGAGGAGGGCCATGCTTAGCCAGGTGCGTTGCAAAAAAATAAAAAAGACGCCTTACCTTTAGCATCTACGCCAAAATAGGTTTCCCTGGAAATGTTATTCCCAATGCAGCTCTGTTGTATATGAACGTAATTTTTAGGAGACAGGGCTGTAAACTTGCATAATAGATGAGGCTCTTTCAGTTGAAGACAAAGCTAACAACTTCCTGTGGAATCATCCGGTCTGCTCCCAAACCAAAAAAGCTGTATTGCAGTAGGTTGTAGAAAACATTATGTAACCCCAAACAGACACATGTTAATGCAGGACAACGTAGTGCATTCACTCACGAGACATGTCAGCTGTTTGAGTGTCAAACACCCCCCCCCCCCCCCCCCCCCCCCCCCCCCCCCCAACTTTGCTGGAAAAACATTCAGCATTCACGCTCGTCTATAAGCGATTCATCTGTGTTTATTCAGCAGCAACATGGCTACCTCTCCAGGAAGCTTTGTCCCTCTCCACAGCGGCACGAATCATCAAGTGCACTTGAATATATGAGAGCGCACCAGCTAGATGCAGATAAGCAGAGAGCACAGAGAAAAGGCGAGGCTTGCAGGGGGAGAACAGGGGAGAATCGGGCAGACTGGTACAAATGATGAGTGTAATGAGATTTCATAGCAGCCATCGGCGTTGATTAATCTCGCATTGGTACCCAGCCCTGTGTGTGCATGGGGAATACACACACACACACACGCACACACACTCACACACACACACACACACACACACCCACACACACAGCGTGAGGAAGCGGGAGCCACAGAGGAAATGAAAGACAAGAAGAAGCACAGATCTGGGTGGACGGAAAAATCCCTCAAGTCAATTCACACCCACACACGCGTACACACACACACTCACTCACTCACAAGCACACACATACACAAACACACACACACACATACAACTCATATCTCTGCACAAAGAAATCAGATGGAGAGAGAAATATCTGGGAGGAGCTTTCAGTTTCTTGTTTCCGCCTCATAGTGTAAATTCTGTGCATGAAGAAGCTTGTATGAATCAGCGTAAATAAGTTGAAACGCGGAGGGTTTACAGAAGATACTAAAAGAAGTATAAATGCTTCGTCCTCGAAACATGTATGTGACCTTTTTTGTGTCTTTTTTTTCTCTATGCCCTTAAAGATGAGTGGAAGCGTGCAATTCAATAAAGCACCATGCTTTATCAATCCAAGAGCTCCCGTGGCCCCGAGGGTTATCAAGTTACCGGCAATGATTATACAGCCAGCCAGGCAGACATTTAGACAAAACAGCATGGTGGACATCAAGTCATATGATTTGGGTTTTTAAACACAAAACAGAGCGGTCAAACAGTAACGCAGCTGATCGTGAAGCCTTGTACCGTCCGAGGGGCTTCAACAGATGAACGACGGACTTCTGGGGGTAATCATGTCACAGCATTGATCTGAATGTTTCTGTGTGCCTCAGCGCCAGCGATGACCCCGAGAAAACCAACACCACCTACGTGGAGGAGTCTCAGCCCACCCATGGTAAGAGAGAAATGGACAAAGAGGGGGCGGGGGATAGGGAACACATGATGAGACGAGTAAATGAGAGAGGGAGGAGTCATGCAGACGGGCAGGCTGGGAGATGGAGGGATTGGATTGATGGAAGTGGGGATATTTTTTAGCGCGTCAGCACAAATGTGTAATGTCTTCTCCATTAAAAAAAATTGTGATCTCGACCCAATTAGGTTAAGTAGCTGTGCCACTCCTGCAATGCATTTTGACATTTTCGGACAAGCGAATGTCTCGGATGCAAAATCATTTATGAAACCGAAGCATCAGTTTGGCACCAAACTTGCTTTTGTAAGGCTTTTTGTTAAGTTTTGTCAGTCAGCAATTTGCCATATTACCATATTCGCCCTCCACAGAGGTGTCTGAACGTCAGATGCTTCACTTGTGACTTTTTAAAATATTTTGGGGGTATGGGGGTATGTGGGGGGTATGAAAAACAGTTGAAAGAGATGGGGGAAGGACATGCAACATAAGTCCCCAGCTGGAACTGAATTGGGGACGTTGTGGTTCGTGGTTGGTGCCCTGAACCTTTATGTCACCAGGGAACCACAGTTACAGACTTTAGAAGAGCTATGGTAATCCTATAGTATATTAGATAAATCATCACCATGCAGGTGGGCATACAATATGTGGAAAAACAATAGCAGAGCTTGGTGCACCAAAGATTATTTTTAAACCCGATTTAAATCATGGTGTAATTTTAAATCATGTAGCACAAAACTTCATTCATTATCCAAACCGCTTATCCTGTTCAGGGTCGCGGGGCGCTGGAGCCGATCCCAGCTGACATTGGGCGAAGGCAGGGTACACATATAGAGACAGACAAACATTCACGCTCACATTCACGGGCAATTTCGAGTCTCCAAATAACCTGAGCTGCATGTCAGTGGGAGGAAGCCGGAGAACCCGGAGGGAACCCACGCTGCAACGGGGAGAACATGCAAACTCCACACAGAAGGACCACCCGGGATCGGGGATCGAGCCCGGGCCCCTCTTGCTGTGAGGTGATAGTGCTAGCCACTACACCACCGTGCAATTCTGCTGCACCAAAACTTTACACTCCAATTTAATATGCAATCCAGTATTAACTTTAAACTTACACTTGAGGAGGTTTAACTTTTACATTGGCTTCCTTATTGAGATGGTTTGAACAAAATAATCCAGTTTCTCAAAGAAAGTTAAGGGACAGACTCAACCCAATTGAGTTTTATGATGTTGCTATTGAATTTCTCTCAAGATATCAATTCAGCAAGGAAACTGTGATGGAGCTGAACAGAAAGATTGGTCAATACTGAAAACAGTTCTATATCTTCCATTATTTGGCCATATTGCTCCATGGATTCGGCCAACAAGTTGTTCTCAAAGGAGGATAAATTGGAGCTTCTCTGCCGACCCATCACGAGTAACGTTAGGCTAACTAACTGACTTTTTGGCTAGCTAGTTACCAACAACGTAACGATTTGTTAAGGAATACAGAGCAGCTGTTTTCCGCCCCTCTGTTATTGCTCACTTACTAGTTCCCAACAAATGTATACATCTATTTATTTTAATTTGGGAAAGCAAACATCTCCATATAGATTAAACTCTTTAATTTTGGTATTTAATTGGACAACAGAGCTCTGCTTAGTTTACAATCTGTATTTACCCATTTTATACCTAGTTTTGATAACTAAGTAGAACTGATCTTAGAATCTATTAATCCTTGTTGGTGCAACCCCGCCTAAGAGTCTTACGGCCGTGCTTGCAGCTGAGGCTGTACTGCTAACGTGCTCACAGTGACAATGCTAGCATGCTAAAGCTTAGCATGAAAAACGTTTACCATGTTCACCCTGTTAGTTTAAGTGTTAGCGTGGTAACGTTCTCTAACTGGCACCAAACACAAAGTGCAGTTTTGTGGGTTTTTGGTCATTTGTTAGTATTCTGTATTTCACTGAAAGAGTGAAAAGTCAGGAGATCGTCACAGTCGGTAGGGTTCATCCTCTGGGGACCATGAATGTTGTTAGGATATTTCATTCTGGAGCAGATTGACCAACATTGTCGGAGCCGTGTCACTAATAACAATAACCTCTCGCTCTTCCTCTTCTGTCTGCCTCCTCTCTCTCTCTCCTCTTGGGTCTCTGGTAGAAATCACCATCAGGGTGGATGAGTCCGACTGCCTGTCAATGGCCAGCTCTCGCAACCAGGAGACCGAGCGCTTCCTCTCCACGGGCACCATGGGCCGTCGCGTCTCCTTCAACGAGGCTGCGCTCTTCGATCACGGCAAGAAGGCCCAGGAGAAGGAGAAGGGCCGCAGGTTAGAGAGCCAGCGAACACAGAGGCACACATTTAGAAAATGCTTTTTATTCACATTAACGTCCGTGCACTCCAGCTTTACTTTACCTCTCTGTGATCAAAGGATTCACACATTTAACTGTGTCCATCTCTCTTCTGTGGTAGTTAAGGGTTAACAATGAATCCAGAATGCATTAAGTCTGCTGTCGACACAAAGAGTTCTCACCCCTTCTCATTATTTCACTACCCTGCTTTTCTCTTAAAGCCGGGAGCCTGATGTGCAAACACTTCAAAAGGAATTATTCTGTGAGGCTAAATGCAGAATCCAGTGCAACTGTGATGGGTCTGCAGTCAGACATTTCCCCATAGCTGTTTGCCTCTTAAGGATAAGCGTCATGGTTTCAAACTTATCCAGAGTGAATGCGACTTGTTTCTCACGGATTTTAGTGCTTTGTATTTAAAGCGGACATATTGTAGAAAGTGAGATTTCCATGTGTTTTTTTATTTTGTATTTATTTATGATAGAGCAGGTCTAGGTCCTATATAGATACTGTGAAAGTATCAAAACACTCGATCCACGGAGAACACAGTTCGTATTAAGAAACTGTGCTTTAAACGAGCAGTCAGGGCTTCCAAGGAACCTGAAAGCACTGATCAATAACTTTTTTGGGAGGGGTCGCTTAAAGAGACGGGTGCTAAAACGGAGCGTTTCAGACAGAAGGTGAATACAGGTTTTCTCCATAGACGGTATATTATAATTGGGCACAGTCATCGTGACATCACCTATTGGTTTGTTTGCTGCGGTTTTGAAGCCTCAGGTTCGGCATTTTGGCCCTCGCCGTCTTGGTTTCTTTAGTCGGTGAACTGAAGTGACCATATTTGGACTGCGGATGAGAGACGTAGAGACGGTATACGACTGAGGTAGCGGCCTGTCAATCACAAGGAAGGAAGAAAATTGAGCATGATATTTCCCCTGTAACTCTGTGTCGTTCTCTCCAGGTACACTCTGACCGAGGGCGACTTTCACCACCTGAAGAACGCCCGGCTCACACACCTCCACATCCCTCCCCCGGGCCTCAAGATAGTCACTATCCACGAGTGTGACTCGGCTGAGAACAGCATCACCATGACGGCGCGCCCTGTCACCAAGTCGGCCCTTTCCATCTTCCAGGTGAGGGCCTTTAACCTGCTTTTAGTCCTGATGCATCGATTGTCGTGACTGGGGTTAGTAAGAAACTCAGGGCAAGAACATTTATCTACCAAACGCTCTGCATGCTCATTTCAACAGGCTGTGCACATTGATTTTCCATTCAGATGTTCAATCGCTGTTGCAAAGCTGACAGCTGGAGAAAGGATCTGGACATGATGTTCATTCATAGCTTTCACGTAAACATGACAACGAACTGTGGAAGCGGAGCTACCTTGCTTGGCTGTATTTGTTATAGTCTGAATAACACGCGTGTTCAACAAAAGGGATCTTTTATTTTTTATGTGTGCTTCTCTTCAGCCGATGCTGTGCCCTCTACCACAAACAGCGTTGACCAGCCTGAGTGTCAATCCCAGCTGTGCCCTCCCTGGAGATGCTCTCAACTCTGTGGTGGACACCGGCTTCAGTGGGAACACTATTGCTCTCGGCACTAAAGAGCCAATCTCCAGCTCTGTAAGTCGCCTCCAACTGCTGTCAAATATTTAGCACCAAGTAACAGTGACGATGAATATATTCCTAAAGTTTGGCATGCCACACAGTGATTCTCTTCGTGAAAAACATTTTAAATAGTGCACAGCTACTGTGAGTGTGCATACAAATGACCTGTAAGAGCTCGTGTATTGGAAAAATGCAGTGTGTAAGAAGTGTGTTGAGCTAATCATTTGTAGAGCGATGAATTTTCTCAAGATAGTCACTCAGTACACCAAACGGCTATTCGAGCAGCCAGTCAACCAGTGAGTCATACGTAAGGACTTCAGAGGGTCATGGAGGACCCAATAAGAGTGATGGTTGATGGGTAAACAAGGAAGCCTGTGTGGAACATCACTGTCAGAAGGGATTAAACAGACACCACCAGTCTTGGCAGATTTTCTTTCTGACCACTTCTATCTCTCTCTCCCTCTCTCTCTCTTACTCAGATCGAGATGATGGGAGCGGGGCCCCGGGGCAGAGGCAGCAGCATCAGTGTCGGAGAAGGGGCCGCGGTGAGGAGCGGCGGTGCCCCTCATGCTGGCGGCGGCGCAGGAAGCCAGGGGCCCGTGCTGCAGTTCTTCACTAAACTGCGGCGCCATGCTAGCCTGGAGGGGGCCAGTCCCTACTTCAAGATCAAGAAATGGAAGCTGGACAGCAGCCAGAGAGCCTCCAGTCTGGACACCAGAGGTAATGGATCCTTGATTTATATATGTATTAGATAGATATTCATATCTTTAGAAACACTCTGTGCCAATGCAGCAGGGAGGTGCAACAATTCTTTGTTGTTCTCATAACTGAGAAAAGAGAAGTTGTTCTCTTGGCAGTTTCTTTCTTAGATATATTTTCTTCTATTTATTTAGTATTTCTGTCAATGTTCCCTCGCGGCGAACAGACACCAACTGTGAGACGCCTTTTTGGCTGCTAAGACTCGTAAATACACACAGACACACACATGTACAAGACAGATGGCTCAGAGGCGTAAAGTTTGGTCTTCCAAGTCACTTTGAGCCCCTGAGCAAACCCTCCCTGCCGATCCCCTTTCATCCTGCACAAACACACTTCTTCTCCCTGCGCTTCCCACAAGCTCAGTCCTCCGATCCTACCGAGGGATCGAGTAAAAAGTTCACAAAATCCCCTCAGAAACCTCAACAGTTGATGGAAGCTTTCTCCTGAATTAAGTGTCTCGTCAGTCCTGCCTGCTGCTAACGCAACGTGTGCAACTCACTGCTCCCTCCCCGTGTCTGTTTGCGAGCCAGGCTCTCCGACGAGGAGGCAGTTCCAGCGGCAGCGAGCCGCCAGCGAGAGCATGGACCAGGACGACAACGACGCCCGCCACATAGACCTCATCCAGTACTTCGCCCGCACCCAGGACACGGCCTACTGTCCCAGCCACCCATCGACACGCCTCCTCTCGACTCCTTCCACCCCACCCCCCTCCCTCGGCAGGTATCTTTAATTCCCTTGCCATTCATTTCGTTCACTGCTTTGCTGCCTTGCACTCATTTTTTCTTTACTGTAGCTAGAAAACGTATGATATTGTTGTACAGTAAGATACGGCTCTAAAGTCCCAATTCTTCACCACATTTCTTGAAGATAAAAGTGAGCTTTTATGACGCAAAAAAAAATTAAAGTGGTTGTGTTAACATGCCAGATGAGCAGGGATACAATCAAATTAAAACTAATCTGTAAATCATTGAACAATATAGAAAAGGATGCTTTAAAGCGGTCCTCTTTTCTATCCAATTTAATTAAATCAAAACACAACATGCTATGTAACTACTGTGTATTTAACCACAGGCTGATTTGCATGTAATGAGATCCCTGTAAACAAGAACCACTTTCACGATTCGGAGCCAGATGTGGGGGATTCCCAGAGTGCACTTATTATTTGGAGAGTGAAGTGGAGAATCGGGACGCAGAGTTTATTCTGGCATAGGAAACCATTCCATCGCTGACATGGTCTGATAATGTCATGATGTCCGCAAAAAAGGGCAAGGGTCACTGAGGTTTTGTTATTTTAAATTTGCAATTATAGCAAAGCAGATTCCGCCCAATATGAGGTTATAAACAAAAATAACCAATCTCCCTTAGTAGAATTTACATCACTGACACTAACAAAATCAATATTTCTTGTGTATGTTTGCAGATTTTGTTGCTGAAAAGCAATTTCCTGGAAGCCGCAGTGCTTCTGCTGATATCACTCTAGTTGTTTCTTACAGCACTGTGTGTATGCTTTAAATTTGCTGATGAAAGCAGGGGGTTTCTGGGAATTTGCAAGCCCGCATGGCATCAGCATTCAGCTAAATTCTGTTTAAGGACATGCAACACCAGCCATTGCAAGTCATGAAAACCATTCTGTGTGGTGTGAACACAGTCATGTGTCAGATGAATGTGTTATTCAGGTAAATGCTCTGACATTGATGCTTGTTTTGCGTGTCCGTGTGTTTCTCCCCTTCCTTCTCTCCTAACTATTTTTAATTTTTTTTTATCTCGTCTCGCCACACCTGTGTGCACGCTACAGGGTAGAGGTAGAGGTGATGGTGGAGCCCAGCTGCAGCCATGGAGGACCAGGGGTGATTGGCCTGTCCCCTGATCCCCAAGACGAAGCACTCTCCCTGGCAAGAAGGGACGGTGCAGACCCCCCAGATCCCCAGGACCCCCATACACTTTACCAAGACCTATGGAGCCTTCGTGCGACACTGGAACAATACGCCGCCTCTGACCAGAGCAGCAACAATGACAGGAACTCCGTCTGCAGTGATGCTGAGAGTGTGTGTTCGCTGGGCGGGTGCAAGGAGACGGAAAGAGGAGGGCTCCCTAGCTACCAGTCCCAGGATTTAGGGGACGAGGCAGAGGGTGGAGAGGATGACAAGGACATTTCGATGTATATGGATGAGAGGTTGCAGGCGAAGGAGGGAAGAAAGAGGAAACAGGAAAGCACTGAATCAGAGCGAGGGGGCAGCGACGCAGAAACGGGGACTCGTAAATTGCTGCAGATGGACAGCGGCTACGCGTCGATAGACGCTCCATCTCGCGGTCCAGAAGACCTGCGACTGTTTGGGAGCGGCAGCGGCAGCCCTAAGGACAGAACTGCCCACGAAAAACGGCACCACTTTACCAACACGGGGCGAACCGGCACTATCGAGAGCTTTGAGTCTCATTTCCTTGAGGAGGAGCTGGAGGACGAATTGCTGTTGGGCGCCAGCGGAGGAGTTTCCATAGAAACAGGTGCTGGTTCCCTGAGCTGGGTCCCATACGGTCAGATGCTCACACCTCGAGAGGCCGCGCAGCCTTCGCCTCAACCGCTGGCTCTGCACCGGCGAGACTACAGCATAGACGAGAAGACGGACGCCCTCTTCCACGAGTTTCTCCGCCACGACCCTCAGTTCGACCAGCAGGAGTCACCGCTGAAGAAGCACCGGTCCAGAATCCACCTCCGCAAGCAGTGGCAGCGCCACAAGCAGTGGAGCGACCCGGGTGTCAGGCACTTCCAGTCCTCTTTCGACCGACTCCGGGCCCCGCTCAGGAGGGGTGAGAGTGTGAACTACCCGCTGGACACAAGCTACCACAGCACACTCCCCCGCATCGTCAGCGCTCCCGACGAGGAGACCAGCGAGGGGACCGGCAGCACTCCCGACACTCCAAAGGTAGAGCCAACCACCGCTAAGACCGGGGGCGAGGACGGGGAGCAGGGTGTCTCTGTCAGAGACGCTGAGGACAACACCTCCTCTTCCCCACTACATCTTCATCCCTCCGGTGAGCACCTCGACCCTCAGGAGGACAGCAGACAACCTGCACTCCCTCCCGAGCCCCCGGACGAGCGCTCGCCCCCTCAGCCGCCCGACTCCTCGGGCTACGGCCCTCAGACCATCACAGCAGAGCTCACAGACAAACTGACTGCTAACCTGGATGACAGGCTGTACACGGGCCTCCGCAGGACCAAGGACACAGATGCTGAGTGCGTGACGGTGACGGCCGCACGCGCCTCTCCGGACCACAGCCCAGTGTAGCAGGGCTCCAGTCGTCCTCCTCGTCACCCTCACTCCTGCTGATACACACTTTCCTTTCTGTTCGATTTGTCTCGCCTCGGTTGTATCGTCTCTCTGTGTGCAGCTTGAATGGTGTTTTGAATTGGAGGCGTGCTTTAAATCATCTTACTAGATGGTCCACTAGAAACGCAGCTAGCCTCTCCTCGTGCCGTTACAAAGCTGTTCAATGTTGCCATTTTGCATTTTTCATTGAGGAAGAAAGATCCAATGCAAGATAATAGACCAACAGAGCTAACATATCAAAAAATGATATGCTTTTTGTAATAATTGCTTCCTCAATAATTGTTTCTGTGTCTGTAGTCTATGTCCATCTCTGCCTTCCTGTCTCTGCTCTCCAGTTTGAATAACTGAAGCCAATATGGCCTCGGTGCTTGTTGATCCACTGTGAAACAAGGTGCTATTAGATGAGTGGAAAGCTTCAGATCCGGACGCAACAGCGAGTCCTTTGATCATGCATTAGTGGAAAATAAGTAGTTTTCTCACTATTAATGAGCTACAAAATGATCTAAAATACCTGACTAGTTAATCAAAGCCTTGGAAGGCAAATTTAAAGGGACAGTTCACCCCCAAATGAAAACGACGTATGCGTCTTAACTGTTGTGCTATTTATCCGTCTGGATTGTTTTGGTGTGAGTTGCCGTGTGTCGGAAACAACGAGCCTCTCGTCCATGAGTAGAGGCACGCTTCCCCTCTGCACTGTGATGCGGTTGCTGGGTGTAGTTCAGAAGAAAGAAAATAGTTCCTACATGCAACTTCTCACAACGGTTTTTGGGGGAACCGTCCTTTTAATAAGTCGTTCACACTGGTTGTTTAGATCAGTAGTTCCCAACCTGTGGGGGTCCCAAGAGAAGTCTGAGATGATTAAAGTGATTTATGTTTTTATTACAAGCAGTTATGTTTGGTTTGGTTGTGTCCTTGGACCCCGTATAGCTACGTCAATCTCATCCATGCTTGTTGCCATCTTTTGGCAATTTTTATGCCATTTTTCCTGAATGTAGCTCTGCAGGAAAGTGACGTCCCAGTTCTTAATCACTAAAAAAACCTCTGATTGGTGGATTGTTTTTCCAATTGTTGGAGGCCTTTAAGTCATTAGCAGCCAGGAAACAATATAAAAACAAATTTCTTCTTTCTTTTGTTCGTATCCACGATTTGTTCTTATTTTGTCAGCCCTCGTTGATATCTGGGATTCACCAATGTTTGATAAGTTTAGCTTTTCTCTTAACTAAAAGCTAATTATACAATCGGTCGAGAGCACCAAGATAAGAAAAAAAAGATCTTATTTTCACAGTCCACAAATTGTTTGTTTCAATCGCAGGGACACACAAGTCTTAAATTTCAGGACCACAAAAAAAACATAATGGAATAATAATTAAATTATTATTATAAAATTTCTGGGCTAAAGAAATATTATTGGTCCATTGATCCTGATTTAGACAATAAAAACCCCTTGGACGATATTGCGTGCGTTCAGCTTCTAAATTGCTTAGAAGTCTTTGATGCTACAATTAAGAGAGATTTAAGAGAGTGTTGCTGCATTAGGCCCATACAGTGCTGCAGCAATGACGTATTTTTGTAGGCCACAGCCAAATGCTGACTCATTTCTGGGTTTTAGGACTCGATTTTAAGGGGCCACAAGCCAAAAAGGTTGGGAGCCACTGGTTGAGATAGTTGGGACATGAATGAAGCGTTAGCAAAGGCCAGAAAAGTTATAATTACGTGATCTCTTAAAAAGGAAGCTATCCTTTGATTGTCCTCATTCAGTGTCTGACTGGTCGTTTCTTGTTTTTATTCGACTGAAAAATGCTTCTCAGCTATGTGACAACTGTGTTGTTTATTTTTTAATTAGCTTGTTTAACCAGTTTTTTAAAAATATTTTTGTACGTCTGCATTGCTGAAATGACAATGAAATGTGGGAGTGTGGCAGGTTTGAAGAGGACAGGCTCAGAACTATCAGACCAGGCAGCCACTCTGGTGTCATGACTCTTCATCAGTCACAGATATGACGATAATCTCCATAAACTACGACTCTTTGTACTCTGGGCATCACCGACATTGACCTCTGACCTAATAGGCGGAACACACTCAGTCCTGTGCACAAGTTCACAGCCACGAGGTGGGCAGTTACATTAAAGCTATGAGACGAGATAACTGCCCTCACAGATGTTTGGTGTTTATTGAATTTATAAGAGAGGCATGCTTTCTTGTGCATGAGGGCTCTGAGAACAGGCTTTATTTGTCCGCATCTGACATTCTCCTCTTCCTCTCCGTCTCCTGAGAAAGTTGACAGTGCAGTAGATGCCTCCCTCGGGGGGCCGAGGGCTCCGCTTCCTGTCGGCTTATAAAACCAGACCGAACAAAGACGTTGTTTGTAGTTAAGCCCACTTATTTTTTTTTCTGCCTCTTGTTCGGCTTCAAACAAACCGCTGCTGCCGTTCAAATGAAACCCGGACAGCAGATTATGTCCTGTGGGCGAAGAAAGACAGAATTACATTTTTTGCTCGCAAGATCTCTGCTTTTTACGTCGTCAGCAGCAGCAGGTTGATTGTAACCCAGTCACGCTCATAAGGTCTCATTCTCAGAGGGGCTGTTGGGCTTTTCCGTCTCTCCCACGTGCAGTGAGGGAAGCCACTGCACAAGATGGTGTTGAATATTAATCGTGAGGAGAAGGATTTCCGCCTTTCATCCCCCGTCTCCCTATCCTCATTCTTTTGAGGCTATTACCTCGCAGTAAATTGAAATCCCTGAATAGAAAATGAAGGGGGTTAACAAACGTTATCCTCCTCTCTTTGTTTGGGTGTGATGATGATTTCCCAGATTAGGTCTCTCTCCGCCGCGTGACAGGAGTCTCTTCTTGTGGATAAGTGCAGATGCTGCGTTCCTCATTAGGAGAGCAAGGACATGAGATAAAAGGGGGTGAACTCAAATAAGGAGTAGAGAAGGAAGCATTCTGTATTTGTATTTCTTTGTTATCCTTTCTTTCACACAGGGCCCAATCACAATAATCCACCGTGAAGAAACACTATGTGCTCGACTTTTTCTTTTTAAGACGGCGATAATCAGCAGAAAGGAAATGAAATCCTCCCCTCTCAGTTATAATGACTAATTACTCTGCAAATGCTGACAGGGCTGGACAAAAGGGAAGACGGCTGCGTTCCCCACAGATCAAACGTCTTGAGTCAGTATACGAGATGACAACAGCAACAACCTAAAGAGAAATTGCCACAAAAGGTTGCTTTTCCATACACGTGTACAAAGATTAAACTTTGCTGTGTATACAAGCACAATGTCACAAGAGCTAGACTAAATGGACGTCCTCTTTTAGGTTTAGACAGATGCTGTACAACTGGGGACACTGTGGTAAAAATAATGGTGTTTGCATACTAACCATGTAGCCTGTCAAATGCATTGATGCATAGCTGTGTGTAGGTCTGCATGAGAGTTAACATTTTAGTACAAAATCTTCATGTTTTCTCAGAATTGCGGTGCAAAATTGATGCATAGTTACTGCTCATTTGTTAAATGCAGAAGTCGAAACGTTGGTACGACTAGAGGTTTTTGTACTTTTAAGAGTCGTGCTAGGATGCTGTGATGAGATTTTGTGAGATTTATCCCTTTTAAAGTAGTATTTCTGTATTCCTTGCTTGTTAGTAAACCGCTTAATTTCTCAAAGGAAAAAAAAAAGACGAGCTTTCTTTATGACTTTGCTTTTGTTGATCCAAATCAATTGAGCCTTGAGGGACCAAATTATCAAAAAAAAAAAAGGTGTTATTTTAGGGTTGTTTTCCAATCTGTGAATAAATGAATGAAGCTAAAAGTGTTTCTAACTCGCTTTATTTCAAGGGGATGGTCGTTAATCGAGCTGTGGGAACGGATCGCAGATAAGGTTCCCTCTCATGAATCTCATTTCATTTTTTCTCTGTTGCTTAGGCTCGTATTGATTTCCTGCCTCTCCTTATCACCTCTTCCAGATTAATTGGAAAGAAAAGCCAAATCCAGCCGGTGATCTACAAAGGGTCTGTCTTCTTCTTCGCACCTTTATAATCTATCGGACTGGCCTGTAGCCTTGAACTGCGGGGCCAAAGTCTAGAAGAGAGCTAGGAGGGAAATGCAGATGTACTATGATACAGACGATTTATCAAGGTCACGTTGAGGCGAGTGTTGGTAGACGAGATGGAGACTGCTGCTCCTGATGCAGAGAGCAAAGTCACCCAGACACAGTGTGGTGAAGGTTTACCACGCTCCAAGTTCAGAGGTCACTTAGTCTGCAAGGAATCCGAGTTCTGACTCGTGTTCAAGTTATTTTAAAACCTTTTTGCGAAGACCCAATTTACTCACAGGAGCCAGGGAAAACTTGAACAAGGATTTGTTTAAGATCCATTACAACGTGACAAAGTTACATCTCCTCCGGTCCGCTACCGACTTTACGTTCCAAATGTAATACATCGGTTATCACTCTATCAGACTACGTCACCACAAGCTAAACACGGTGAAAAGCTTGTTTGCAATCCAAACCTGAACCCTTTTTTTTGCCATGTGCGCAGAAAAAACTGCATTATGGCACTATTTACTAAAACTTAATACAAACTTGGATAATGCAAAAAGTTATGTAATATGCCATGCCAACACAAACAATTTTACCCAATATAAATATGATTAATTGGCTCTTACATGCAGTATGCATGCATGCACATGTGAGTGTATTATTATCCTGACCAAAATAGTGTTGAGTTATTAATTACAATTGTCAAAGAATGATTATTTAATATTCCTTAAAATCAATGAAGAAGAACAACCAGACAAAGCAATAAGGAGGAGGCGTAATGTTTATTAAAACAAACAGTCTGCACTCTGTTTCTGCCTCAAGCTACATCATTTCATTTATTAACTTTGAAGAACTCGATTTTCATAGTATCAAATGTATTGTCTTCTATGAAATCCCTGTCAGTCTACTGATTTAATACACATCACTATGAGCTTCATACTGACAGACTGCAGAGTGAACAGGCTGGGGGGAAAGGGGGGAGTCTCAGACTCTCCTCTGTGTTTGTTTCACTCTTTTGCATCATCCTGTGCCTTTCCTCCGTCACCTGTCATTGTCCGTCAGCCAATCGCTGAGCAGGACACCTCAACTGTGAGTCAATGCTGACTTTGCATAGGGGGTTCCTTCAGTGTGAGGGTACGTCAACGGCTGTGCAGTGTGGAAAATCCAGCGTAACATCCTTTGAGGCTGGTCACGTATCCAATGTGAATGAAAGCCCCTGAGCTGTTTGCACTGGACTTGATGGGAAGTCTGAAGCAACAGGGGCCCAACAGCAAATTTGGCTCGAACACATTGACGTACAAAGATTCATACATTCATAATCCCACTGACATTTACAATAAGGCACGTACCTAAAGATGCAGCCTCGGAACATAGCCTTATTCAATATGTCACATGACACACGTTGAGATAAGGATGGCAATTAATAAATAATCTAATGTTGTTTATTCATGTTTTGTATTGTTAACACCATTTCCCATCATGCTTGGACCGTTGTGTGTTAAATGTGAAGGGGGGGGGACATTTTTATACAACTCACCTGTTTGAATCATATTAAGGCTTAAAGGCTGGTGCCGTCACAGCCGCTAGCTGTCTGCTCGGCGTAGTCTCAGATGATTTCAGTCACTAAAATGTACCTCTCTGCTGTGTTGGTGCCTTTTGGAGAATTGTTTAAGCAATTCCGGACACAATAGGACTTGCTATGCGGTTAATTCCTGCTGGCCAATATGTGGGTGTTAGATGATGGTCTGGTTGACATCCGCGCCGCAATCAGTTTCCAATGGGATTTTGTTTCTCTAAATCCTGGGGTAATGGTACCGGCCATTGCCCTTCGACTGTTTTTCTAAATTATAATACACCGATCTGACTGAACATGACTTGAGTTGTACCTTGTTTTTCCGGTAGGTCGTACAAACAAGCATGATTATGGCTAGCCGAAAGTAGCATCTCAATTAATAGCACAGTTGTTAACGAGAATCACGGATCGGGACCGTCTCCCACGAAGCCTCACTCTTCCCCCAGCTCCACCCTTTCAAAAAGTATCCTCATACAACGGTTCGTATGATATTTCAAAATAAACTTTCGTCTTTACAGGAAACAACTAAGCTAGGTTTAGGCAACAAAACGACTTGGTTTTTAAGAGAAAAGATCGTGGTTTGGGTTAAAATAACTACAGAAGTGGTGTGACTTAAGTAAGAAAGTTACATGACAAATAAATCAACATTGACTTCTTGATTCACACGGGGCACGAACAGCCGGTTCCTCGGTCAAAGATTAGTTTTTGTTTGACCTATCCTCCCGTCTTGTATAGTTTTTTGCCGTCTTTATACTTACATACAAATTGATTTTGTTGGATATCTACGAATTAGTGTATTCATTTTCATAGATATGGCTACAAACGCTGTATGAGAACAGCCTGCCTCCAGATATGGTCACTTCTGGTTCCAGAAAACCAAGATGGCGGCGGCCAGATCCACCCTCTTTGAGCTTCACTTTTGCTCTTTGTAACCTATGGGTGACGTGACGGAGACTACGTCCATATTTTACACAGTTTATGTCTGTTATAACAGCAGGACAGACAAACATTTTAGACGGCAGAACTTACAGCTAAAAGGTTGTAAAAATGACAGTAGAACAGTCTTTTGGTGAATCTTAATAATATGGACAAAACTATGTTACGGTGTCCGGAGTATCCGCACTGTCATGCTAGTCAATTTTTGCCTTAAGTCAACAAAGGTTAGTGGTCAGTACTGTTGTGGATGCTAGGTTTTCAATATGCAGAGTGACAGATTAAATAAATGCTAAATGACAAACTGCTCAGAATTACAGCAGCTAGCTCGGATGTGATCTCAGGACTTTGGCTCCGGGGATTGAAGTTGTGACCGTGTGCGTAGAGGATGCTTCCACTTCTTATTCTGCTTTCCCGCTTTGTAACATGCATCGCTGGCTTTTTCATGTCAGCATGAAAACTAAAGTGGATCTTTAGCGACTGGGGAAGTCTAACAGAGAAAGACAAGCCACAAAAACAAAACAGAAATCCCATGAATACAGATGTTGAGAGATGCCTCAGCTGTCATGGTTTGTTACAGCTCGGTTACGTCACTCCATTAAGCAAACACAGTATCGTATTCGGTTCATTCACAAACCAAACTGTTGCTCACAGCACCGTCTAGAACCACAAATTGAGATGATGGTGATGGTGTTCCCTGTTTCGTGCACTTGCGTCACACGCCTGCCCACACATCGCACATTTAAGGTCTACCCTCCACACATGAATGAACACATATTTGCAAATTCCCCTCCTGCTCTGCCTCCAACACAAGACGGCTGTAGTCAGGGATGTTTCAGAGAGGAAAACCCTCTCCCTCCCTCCCTCCCACCCTCCCTCCCCACCACCACCACCACCTGCTCCCTCATTCCCCCTCCACCCACGCATTAACCACCTCCCAGATTTCCTTTTAATGGAGCAGCTCCAGGCGGCGGTCGAACGAGCGAGAAATGTCTGTGACTCACCAGGTTCCTCTCAGCTCACGATTCGGCGGCTATTCTATTTCTCACTTATTATGTGCGGCTAAATAAATGTGATGCCAAATGCTGATAAGTGTGAAATAATGTCAACTGAACAGACCTCAGCTGTGTGTTAGACAGAACATAAAGCTAAAAAAAGAGGGTTTTACTACTGTGGTGTTGTTTTGTGAATTGCTCAGGGAAATAGCGCAGAGCCAAGTTATTACTTTTAACTCGTGATGCCTGAAATAGGAGCGAAAGGCAGTTTAATGAACAATGGTAATGATGCCATTAGATATGTGGCATCTGTGCGTGCAGATGGAACGTGATAGAGGGAGGATTTTTTTATTCTTTTGCAAATAAATCGAGGACTGGGAGACTCTCTTAAAGTGCCTAAGCTTGTGCTGCTAAATGAGTCATAGAGAAAAAAGAAGGGGAAAAGAAAGAAAGAGAGTGAAAATGAAGACAGTGACAGACAGATGAAGAACAGGAGAAAGAGGAAGACGCAGAACGGGGCTGGCAGAGATGAGAAGGAAAAAGACGGTGAAGAAAGTACAGAGAACAGGAGAAAACCGTAGAAAGGTGATTATGCAGCATCTCCTTCCCACGCAGTCTGCCCACGCGTCCTCTCTCTCCTCCTCCTCCTCCTCCTCGTTCAGGATTCTGCTCCATCCATTCCTCCCTCTCTCCCCCTCCTCAGCTGCGTCATCCCCCCAACCTCCTCCCACCTCTCAGGAGGACGGAGCAGAACTCTCCACTAGCTTTGCTTTTACATGCAGACTGAAGCTTTTGGGCTATTTGTTACACTTCATGATGAGTTGAAGGACAACAATGCACCCACACACATGCAGACGTTATTCCACACCCTGGAGAGTTGTCACGTATCGATCGAGCAGCATATAAAAATCCCTTTAACTGCAGACGTGTTTCATTAATACTTGGTGAGAGATCCTGCTCAGGCTTCTCATCAGACAGCTGACGGCAGAAACAGTGTTTATGAGGTTAAACGTGGACTAAAGGGGCAATAGTGTTGTTGGGGAGTTTCCTCGCCAGTCCTGTGTGTGTGTGTGTGTGTGTGTATGTGTGTGTGTGTGTGTGGTTACTGTGATTACAGCTGGAGGTGGAAACTCTTTTGTCCGGATCTCTGTCTGATCCTGCAGATACAGAGATTTTCTTGTTAACTTGTCGCACACAGACTCCTGAGTGCTCCAGTCCTCCTGAAAGGGACCTCAAAGGGACAGTGTGTAGGATTTGGTGACACCCCTCCG